AACCCCCATCCCAACGCCATGCTTATGGCTATTTTTAAACAGACATCTGGAGAGAAAAATGTGGCCAGTGCCCTCCCAGGAGAGAGGAGGCGAGGCAAGGGGGGAGACAAAGCGGCCTTGCAGCTCTAACCCAAGGACTAGCTTGAGCTGCTGCTCTAATACAAGGTCCAGCGAGAGCTCCCTTGCCAGTCGCGGGCAGGCTCCAGATGCTCCTAGAGGCCCAGGAGCAGGGGGCGCGGCTGGTTGGGGCCGCATGGCCGCGGTTCTGAAGGGAAGTGGGCAGTCCACAGGCCCAAATGAGCTCCCCAGGGAGGGGGCAGACAGCGTAGATACCCCAATCCACGCCAAAGTCAATATTCGTCGGACCTAGGCCAGCCTATTGGCTTCGTCTGCAGAGGGGAGAGACAGGAGATGAGGAGGGGAGGGGAGGGGAGGGGCGGCCGCCTGGCCGCTGGGGTGAGCGATACCCGCGTAACACAGCTGTTCCAGCCAATGTGCTACAACAAAGCTACAGAGCTCCCGGCCTACAAATGCACCGCTGGGGGTGCTGGCCGGTGGCTCCCCTCCTGGGATCGCCCAGCAGCACGTGGGGACCCCATCCCCTTCTCTCTGAGGGCCCTGAGGCATGGCCCAGGCTAGCTCACCCGCCTGCCAGCCCTCTTCCCCCACCCCCCAGCCTCGGTGACCCGCTCCCAGGGAACTCTGCTCTGGCCCTCACCAGATAGTCCTCAAAGTGGGTTCCAAAGGAGAGCGGAGAGCGGCCCAGACTCCGACTGGCTCAGCTCTAGAGCCCCTCTCCAGGAGTCCAGAGCAGAACACGCGGGACTGCCCCGCTGTCGGAGCCTCCTGGCTGCCCCCAATGCTTACCCACCCCGGTCCGGTTTCCAGCCCGGTTATTGTCTGTTGCGCCGCCCTGGCCGAGGCTGGAGCCTCGGCTGCCGTGGCTGAGAGCGCCGCCACCGCTGCTCCTGCCGCCGCCACCGCGGCTCTAGTCACCTACTGCACTGGCTCCCTTCCCCGGGCTCTGGGTAGCTCCCCCATACCCCCTCCCAGCGGACTCCATAGCCACAGGGTGGGGTGTCCACGCCCGGATTGGCAGGCGTGTGGCCCAATCACCACGGTGGGAAGGCGTACCCCAACCCGCCCACTGTTTTCTTTGGTGTGTTTCCCTTTAAATGCAAATAAGCCCAAGCGTGGCGTTGGCAGGGGGCGGAGAAGGTGCAGAATCCCTCTTAGGGACTTCCCACTCCAGCCCCTAAGCCGGGCGGGTCTCTGCTTGGCGACACCATGAGCTCGCGGGGCCGGTCCCGCCCGAATGGGGCTCACGGGAGCCCTAGAGCTCGGTTTCGGTTTTGCATACGCTCCCATTTCCGTGGTCGCGATGCAATTGCACTGCGGCGCCCTGGGCACCACCAGGCAGTTTATTTCAGAGCAAGAGAGGCAGGCAGGGAAAGGCAGAGGGGAGAGGTTGGTAAGCCTTGGGGGACTGCAGAGCCCCTTGGAACCTCGCCGGGCCCAACCTTAGAGGTAGAGAAAGTTCTGCATTGAGCACCACCAGGACACTCAGAGGAGGGACTCGCCTGCCAGGAAAGCCAATTGCAGTGCTTGCGCCTCAGCTTCAGTCCGTCTCTTTAGCACTCCAGGGACCATTTAGGCCAACTTCCACCCATTACCAAAGGGCCTGCTGCTGCCCAGAGAAGGGGAGTCGCATTTCCAAGGTCACCCAGCCCGCTAGCGACAGGAGCAGATTTGGAATTCAAAACTCCCTGTCCAGGGCTACTTTCACTTTTCTTCTCTGGAGAGATGTTTCGGTGGTTTGACCCTCACCCAAATTTCCCACCTTTCACAGAACTCTAGGAGATTTTCAAGGTTTGCAGAGGCCTCCTCAACCTTTTAGTGGTTTTGTTCTTGAAAAGTGTAGCTATTGAGAGAAAAATTTTGTCTGAGCCCAGACTGGAGGTCAAGGCTGAGGTCAAACTGAGAGGCCTGTACCAGCCTTGCAGACTGCTGTGTCTAGGATGTGGAGGGGGCAGGGGGGGGCAGCCTGATCTTGAGTCTCTAACCAACCTGAGGGCATTACGTGGCATTAGTGGCTGCCAAAGCTAGGTGAGCTGAGGCAAGAAAGAATCCAATTCTACCATTAGCTCAAGAACATCAAGAAGGCCCAGCCCTAAAACTCTGAATGTCTAAAAACGGGGAGGTGGGAGTTGAGTGTGGGATTAAAGAACAATGCCTACCATTTGCATAGTAGGAAGAGTGTTCTCTACTGTTCTACTGGGTCCTATCTGCCTTGAAAAGATCCAGCTGCTAAACTGGTAAGAGGACTGCCATCTCTGTATATGTGGAACACAGGAATTGACATGGTTGCTAGAGTTGGGATCTGGCTCCAGCTCTGCCTCAGACTTGAAGTATGACTTTGGCCAGTAGGTTTTCCTCTCTGGGCCAGTCCATCACCACATATCCAAAAGGAGGGAGTAAAACTGTTCAAGGTCCTTGGTTTCTTCTAGCTCTGACAGTTCAACTCAATTCTTTCTATAATATTCCATGATGTTCTATGACCTTCCATAACATGCTATACATCTCCAACAAAAATCAGCAATTTGGATATCCGACCTCCTTTTCTAGTCCCAGGTCTCAATAAATGTCAGGGAGAAAGGAACTGCCACTGGCTGGCTCATTGTATGACTTTGTTGGGTAGGTACCTTTTCTTTTCCCTAGCCTTAGTTTTCCCATCTGGATGGCTGGACTATACTATTTCCCTAGAGCTATGCTTTCCTGTTTTGCAAAGTCCTGATTCTCAATTGTTGGACATGATTTGGAGGTGTCTTTTTCTAGGGCTCCTTCATAGGCTTCCCCTCTGCCTTGTACTTCTGGTTGCCTGCCACCTGTTTCAGATCTTGAGCACAGGGAAACCGAATCCAGTTCCACCACTAGCTAGGTCCAAGGCAGTCTCAGCTGTGGGAACAGGGAGAGAGGAAGTGTGCAAAATAGTTAAGTGATGGGCTTGAAATAACCCTGAGATTGCGCTGCTCCTCTCACAGGAGCTAGTCTACCATGTCCTCTGCCCAGCTGCCAAACATTCTGCCACACCAGTCAGCTTTGGGACTGACAGATTTTGGACACTGGGTTGGACTCCAAAGAAATAGGACTTCAGGAAAATGAAAATACCTTTGACATGTTAAAGAGTTTTCTCAGCTGGGTGCCTTTCTTTTTGGTCCTGATATTTCTAAGTCTCAGGTGGAGATTGCTTAAGTGCACATGAAAAGGGGAAGGGATGTGGGAGGGGTGTGGCACAGCTCTTTGTTTGTATGGTCCACTCCTCCCCAAGGACAATGTAGGAAAAGACCAACTGTGGGCATAAACTTGTACCTCAAAACACCTTCTCGAAGAGGAAGCCTTCTAGGTCCCCATTCCACGTTCTGACTAACACATGATCAACTTGTTTGGCCACTATAGGGGCTGGTGGTGGGAGGCACAAATATTTTCTTAATTTTCATCACCTATAAAATGGAGATAATCCCTCTGCTACCCAGTGTCTTGTGGCTGTAGTGTAAAGCCCATGAGAACAGATGTGCAAGCTGTTTGGAGGTAACTTCATGAACTCAAGTGACGGACTGGTCCACATGAGTACAATGCTCATTTCTTTCTTTACCAAAGGTACCATAGACACCTCCTCTTAACCAGGCCTGGTGCTTGGTATTGGGAGGAGGGGTACAGTGGTTACAATCTGGGAGAAGGGAGGTCTCAGGATGGAGTTTTCAGAGGAGCTGAAAACTAGACTAGAAGTCTGGCAAAGGCGATCTGAAGCATAGTGTGTGAAAGTTCTTCTCCTCAACGTGAGGAAGGTATCAGAGAAAAGTTCCTGGAGGATGGCCTTAATGAGTATGCCAAGACAGAGAAGTAGGGGAAGGATTCTTGCTCAATCCAAAGCCCATCAATGTGAGAGTGTATGGCAGATTGGACAAGAGCTAGGATTCTGGACATCTGGGTTTGAGTATTTGTGTAAGGGGAGAGGAAGAGCTGGAAAATAGGTATGAGGCCAAAGTGTAAAAGACCATGACTGTCCAGCTAAACTGAGGCTCAGGTAGCTAAGTTTGTCCTTCCCAAGAAAGCAAGTGGTATAGTATATAGTGGCTTTGCTACCAGACTGCCTGGGCTGGGATGCCAGCCCCACCACTTAGGAGTGGGGCGACCTGGATAGGTTATTTCATCTCTCTGATTCTGTTTTCTCTCTGAAAAATGGGAATGATAGTAGTATCCATGTCACAGAGTTGTTGTGAGAATTAAATGAACATTCCATGTGAGTGCTTAACACAGAGCCTGATACATACAAAGCTTTCAATAAATGTTAGCTGTTGCTGCTGCTGTTATTATTGTTGTTGTTCTCATGATCCAATGTATAGATCTTCAGAGTTACAGAACTCTAAATATGACTTTAAAACCACTTTTTGTTATAAACACATGTGAACCTGTGATTCCTTATATACAGATTCCTTTTGATTGTGCAGAGCCAGACTGAATTTCCCAGGGAAGAGGGTCTCTTTGTTTATCTTTGTATCCTCAGTACCCAACAGAGTTTAGCATAGACTTAGTGCCAAGCATGTTTGTTGAACATGGCCAAATGAGACGTCTTCAAGTCTAAGATCAAGCTTAGTTACCAATATCCACCAGTGAAGTGTAATGTTGCCACCCTCTAACACCTCCTCTGTGTCAAGCCCTGTGTTTGGTGACACACACATATTGGTGAACTAGACGCAGTTTCTGGCCTCAGAGCAACTAGTGTGGTGGAGGAGGCATACAACCTATCAGACCAATGTCTGCAGTTTACAACTTAGGAAAGGCACTGGAGAGTATGGCTGTCAATTGAACTGAGGAATATAGGAATAGGATTAGGAAAATGTAATGATTTTGTTTAGGAACAGGATTAGGAAAATGTAATGATTTTGTTTAGAACATTCTGAGTTTGACTGTCTGAAATCCCACCTCCAGGCCTTCACACTTGCTGTTCTTTCTGCCTACAATGTTTATGTCCTCTGAATACAGACATAGTTTATACCTCATTTCCTTCAGATGTCTACTCAAATGTTACCTTAGTTTAGTGAGACCTTTCCTGGACACTTGAAATGTAAAATAGCAATCCCCATTCCTATCCCATTTACTCTACATTCCCTTAATTGACCTTTTTTTTTTTTCTTATCCATTGCATTGCCACCTCCTGTCATATTCTTTTTTATTGTTATTTATTTATTTTATTGTAATTTTCAATTGTCTATTTCTCATCATGATAATGAAGCTCCATGAGGGCTGACAGACAATGAATAAAATACATAAGTAAAATATGTAGTATGTCAGATGGCAATAAATGGTATGGAGAAAAATAGAGCAAGGAAGAGGTACAGAGAGTATTGATGGAAGGGTGTTATTTTAAACAAGGCAGTTGAGGTAGGCCTCACTAAAAAGGTGACATCAAAGGGAAGATCTGAAGGAACCGAGGGAGTAAACCGTGTGAATATTTGGAGAAAAAGCATTCCAAGCAAAAGAAACAGCAAGTACAAAGACCCTGAGGTGAGAATATGCTGGAATGATAGAGGAACAACAAGGCAGCCAGTGCAGCTGGAGCAGAATGAGTGTGGGGTAAAGTGATAGAAGAGAGGATCAGAGAGGACATGGAAAGAAGATGGTGTATGGCTCTGTGAGTCATTTTAAAGACTTTAAGTTTTGCAGGATTTTTACCTGAGGAATGTTATGATATTAGTGCAATGTCTAGGGAGCTGTAGCAGCAGTGAGACCTGGAAGGAGGCTCTTGTAGTGATCCAGGTGAGACATGATGGTGGCACAGACCAGGGTGGAGGCAGTGGAGGAGGTGAGAAGTGGTTGAATTCTGGATATATTTGGCATCTAGAAGTGGTCAGACTTGGTAATGTCACCTTAGATGAAGAGTATGAGAGGAGTAAGTAACAGGAGCCCACAAAAACTCTGAAAAGGAGGGATTAACAAGGTGAGATCAGAGCCAGGAAAGCTGGCTCTCCCAGAAGCCATGGAAAATATGTTTTTTTGTG